GTATTTTAATTGATAAATAGAGACAATAAATGACTGAAACCCAGGAATTGATTTTGATTTGGAGTATAAAATTAAATACCCCCTAAATAAGCATGAAAAGTGAGAATATTCGCTTGAGTGTAGTAAAAGCGCGAAAAAATCCAATCAATCGTACAGTCAAAGCTGAAAAACGCTTTTAACTTGTTAAATGAGGTCATTCAAATGTGCCGCATCGAATTGCTAGATTTTTATGAATGGTTTGGCCTAAAAACGCAAAAAATTGTAACTTGATTAACTTCGTTTAACTTTTGCGATAACATTCGTCCCTTCAAAGTCGTCCATCCCCAGAAAGTCTTCAAAAACTGTGGTCTGGGTACACAGCTTCGACGCACTTTAGTTCCACAACTCAATAACATCAGTTATTCGACAATTCCTAGTCTTTCTTGGAAAAAAATCGTTCATAAAAGCGACTTGAGCTTCACGCAGGACATCAAATAATCCTGTATATAAAACTTTCAGTTGCATCAATTTGCATTAAATCAAACTAATTTAAATAATGACAATGTAGATTCTCGATGCTGTTGATTATATTTGAAATAATGTCGACAAAATTTAAACAACGCGACATAGATTTAAACAAATGGCACATTATCTGGCTGCTCTCCGATTCACTTTTCAATAAAGGTACATAACTCAAAAATGTCGATGCAGGCCCCATTCGGCAAAGCCGTCACGCATTCCCGTTCCAACGATAAACAATTCCACGTATATTTTGTTCACATTCAATTTAATGTGAATAATTTTTCGAGTGACGAACGAACGCAGCATATAAATCAGGCACTCTCATTGGTTCGATTCGAAATGATGGTGCCGAAATCGGAAACACCATCGAGCACGGCACTGATTTGAAACCAAAACTCGACATTAGGTTTTATAACTGAACCTGTGCAATAAACATTGATGTCTCTACAGTCACACAGTGCAACAAAAAATACCTAAAATATTCCAATGTAATTTGCATATAAAATGAAAATTGCTCCGAATGCAAAAACAAGCGTAATTTAAACATTTCGACTTATTTTATTTCGTTGTTGCATCTACGTGTTTATTGTTAATTCGGGACAATACGAATAAAATTCCAGCGAACGTGACATTCTCGAAACGAATGCTTCCTGTAACGGCCCGTGTGATTAAAATAATGAACGCGCTCTTTGCCCTACTTTCGATTGATATAATTTTTCCAAAGGCCAATTAAGTCCTTTAAAGGTGCCATTGGGGGTATCAGGGTCGAACAAACCTTACGGCAAAGGCTCGACTATGATTTACAACCTTGTTCCCTATGATTTTCATGTAAACATAAGCCAAACTCTAGAAATAAACCAGATTGGGGTGAAATCGTGACTGTGATCCATATATAAACTTTTTACACAATTCATGCCGTACTCACGCTTAGATAGTTCCGTAAAAATAGCTGTGTTACCTGGAAAAGAAAGTGGCAATTAGCATAAATCTGAAATTAAATCCACATAATAAAAGGTGTGTCATATGATCACAAGTGGTGAAAAAACATTTTCATTAATGGTATTTATCACTGAATCTGAAGTGTGAACAACCATAAAACAATTCATATTTTTGAATTTGAAGCTTTGTTTGAGCCAAACACTTGCAATTCTCCTCGCATTTGCTCAATAGAAAAGCCTTAATAAAATAAGTTATGGCATTTTACAAGTTTGCAAAGCTTCCGAGCGGAAAACTCTAGTAATTCCGACAAGACAAAACAGTATCGCGTACACTTTTATAGTAAACGATCCTTTTCGTATTCATTAGACTTGAGTTTAGATCTTGAAATAGGGCTATCTGTTCTTGTTTGCCCATCCAAAGCGAAATTGGAACTTGTAGCTTCTCCAGTCACTTTAAACGGTTTACCGTTCCCAAATCTAATAAAAAATTATGTTCGACACGGTTCGGGCTTCGCCTAATCCCTTTCCCATCTGACCGAAACGGTTTGCTGAGCTAATCCTTTAAAAATTGTGTCGAGTTCTTATTTTGTCGGTTTATTTCGAACATAAGACGTCGGGAAAAGATGACGATTCCTCATAAAAGGGCATTGGACATTTGTTGTTCATTTCGAGATAAAAGCTGCTTTTAAATCTACACACTTCGGATTTTCTTTGCAAGGCGAAACGCTCAGCAACTTAAAAATTCCAATAAATAATCTATTTTTAGCAGACACCTTATTGCATTATACAGTTGTACATCTAAACATTATTATACAATTGCGCTCGACAAATATTTGCAACAAATATATTTGGGTAATGAAGTCGATTAAGATTATCTGAGGATAAAGGCAGGAAGTAATACAGAGGAAACACATCAATTTTAGGACAAAATTGGCGCAAAAAAACCTCAATGGAAAAAAACCTTAATTGGATTTTTTTTGTGCAACTAAATCCAGCTTAAACACAAAGGTTATAGTTACGCGTTTATATTTTTCGATGTCTGTTCATATCAAAATTTTTCCAAATTGTCTTGATGATTGGTTCTGTTAACATGTTTTCATGGCCGCCTTTTATTTCTTTTGTAATCGTTTTAGCTTAAGTAAGTACTTTTCATGTTTTGTGGTCTTTTCGTGTGGTTCATCAATATCATTACATACTATTGCTATTACTATTACTGTTTTTTCAAATATGTCGCGTTTTTGGTCGTTGTTCGCTTGAATTATCTCTGAGAATTTATAGGATTTTGGCAAGTTTCATCAAGCGTTTTTCTTACACTTTATTTATTTTATTTAGACTTGTTATTTTAGGTGCCTTTTTGTTCGTGCTTTTTCATCGAGTTCCTAAACTGTTTTTTGCGATTACTTTCTTTTACGTCTGGATACGATTGAAAGCCCAATTAGGCCAAAGTTTTCTCAAATATTTCCCCCGAAAAAATACAATTTCGACTTCAAACTTTCACCTCTTGATTCAAGTACGTAAAATGACCACACCTCGATCAAACCGGCACATTTTAGATTAAACGCCCAAAAACTTTCATTAAATCACAACTATGAAAACCTGAACGTGTAAAAAGCGATCCGAATAGCCGTTTTTTTTTGGCAGAATGCACAATATCGTCGACCCAAAATAAACAGGATAATTTACAACGAGCACCCAACCCACTCGCCTTTTGGGTCAACAGGAAAGAGGATTAGGTCGAGTCAAATGCCTTTGGAACGTTCGTTTTTATTGGATCCCAAAGGGCACATCGCTTAGCCCTTGCAAGAGGTATCAAGCAGTGGCTACTTAGATTTTCAGCCACATTATGTCTTATGGCTTCTCTTAGTCGATGCCCCAATATGAACAAGAGGAGCGAAAATTTATTTCATATTTTGCCCTGTAGGTAACGAAATGGGGCAGTGAATTCAAGCCCCTCGAAATAGAGTATCAAAAATATTGGTTTTCTGTTTGTGATTAAGCGAGAAAAATTTGTCAGCAAGCGGATGAATTTTTCGTTATTTTGTCACTTTTGTCCAAGTCCCTTGGAGAAATCACTCAGACAAGGACTGAGTCTTTTACCCGAAATCCCGCCTACATCAAATTTACAAAAATGCTCTTTGGGTCAGCAAGCAAGAATCTTCGATCAAGTCAAAAGCTGTTCGAACGTTCCGTTTTATTGGACTGCAAAGGGCAGACCGTTTCGGCCTATAGTCAGTATCCAGTTGCCCTTTAGATTTTAAGCCTCATTATGTCTTATAGCCATGGATAGTGTTATGATGGGGGAAGAAAGCTCGCAGTTCTAAAGTGAATCTTTAAGAAATTTGATGGTAATTTTTCCATGGAAAATTAACAGTTTCATCTTTTTTTCAGATAATGGATCAGTTAAGACATCGATTACTTGTGATAATACGTGGTGATAAAGGCAAAAATATAACATCAACTTCACTACATTGAATTAGAAAAAAAAACTGTAATTTTTCATTAAAAGAACACACAAGTCGCAAAATACTGAATCAATACTTTGAAGCAAATCTTCTATATTCGATAAACAATTTAAATTCAATCCTCAAATAAACACAGTGAATTCATTTGCAGTTTGGAATATTCATCCGCAGCTTCTATGCCAATTGCATTTTGGAATAATAAAATCGCGTTGGTCGTGATTTAGAATAGCGCATAGGGAAGTCGCGAAAGAGCCTCGGATGCCGCAGGAAATAAGACGTCGGAAGAAGGCAGGAAGATGGTACGTGAGATGATGTTTCTTTATTGTACGGATGCGACAACTACTTCATGTTGTCGTCGAAGAATAGGTGTTCAGGCTTTAAATATCAAGAAACCGTTGCATTCGATGTGAAAATTGAGTTTTCCAGTTTTCAAAGGATTTTTACTGCTGAAATGCACTTTAGTTGAATGTTCATCCAACAGCTATTATTGCATAAACAATATAAAGAAAACGTTAAATAGTAGTATCGAGTCTTCCATGAGAGACAGGAACGAAATTCCTAATGACCCTGAGGAAAATTGTTAAAAAAAACGGAAAGTTGCTTATTCTTGCTGCGGCAAAAACCACTGTTACCTTTTGCCAGCAAATACAGCGTCGTGATTTCCTTATCAAAAGGTAAAGTGGGTATTAGGAGGACTTTAACGCATTTAATCTACACAAATCCTCTCGGAAAATTGCGGCTTGAAATATTCTGGATTTACACTCAGTTTCGAAACGCTATGTAAATAATTTGGGGCCATCGCTTTGCTATTGGTGCGCACTCAATTAAAGTTAAAATCACAACTTCCTGTTCAGATGGACATGTTCGCAATGAACATGCATAGCAGAGCAAACTTTCGATTTAAATTTAAAAAATTAACAAACCGAGTTAAAATGTTATCAATTTGACTAACAAAAACTTTCAAGAAACTGATGATTTAGTCGGCCATAATTCTCATTTCACACATACAGGAAGATTCAAAATAGACCAAACAAGGCTTAAAACAGTGCAATCTGATTATGTAACCTGGCATTTAATTTGCTAAAATCATGTAATTCTAATGTGCAAAATATTGTAAGCAACCTGGTGAAATGGAGCAACCATAGGAAAATGAAATTTTTTGTGTGTCAAGTGGAGTGTTTGCTGTTGTCCGAAATCGGAAATCCTGGATTGTTTCTATTGTTCATGATCACATTAATTTTCTGACTAGTTGCCAATAAATTAATCTACGCTCTATTACACTCGATAAGCTTGCTGATGATTTGTCGAGAGATTAACTGTATCTTCCCTCTAATTTAGCCATATAAATTGCTAGTTGAATTTAACGCAGTGATGTGATGTGTGCAGTCGAATTTAAGCATTTTATATTGTAAKCAACCTGGGAAAACSGAGCAACCACGGCGAGAGCGGCAACACTGGTAGGCGGGGCACACCCAGGAGGGGGTGGCAACATMGGGACTACTTCACGGCTGACAGGAGACGGCGCGGCGGTACTTCCGGGCAACAACACAGAACATCCGTGGGGTTGCCAGGGGAGATGGATTATTATTGATTTGATGGTGACGGTGCAAGGCGTTCATTAAAAGTATTGAATTTTGCATCGATCGTATTCTTCCCTAAATTTAACCCTAACAATATGTTTGTTTCGAATTGGGCCACTCGGCAAATTTCCCAGGCATTTCACCGTAAAATCCGCTCTGTCTACGAACCACCAATGCTCCAATATTCGTAAAATATGCCAACTGCGGTAAGCAACCACTTAAGGATTCCGAGTCTTACCCGATAGCCTCGCAAAACCATTGCACACTTTTTTGACCAAACCAGAAGGTGAGTATTGGATCAGGGTTGATCAAATTTAGCTTAGCAAAATCTCTATTTTCATTAAAACCGATAAAACCGTGGCTCGGTTTGGATATTGGCGCTTACCAGATCGTAAACGGTGATAGGTTTTTCTGGCATATTAATAGGAAACAGCCAACAAATGAAGCAATCAAATTAATCCCTTAAAAATACCGAGTCACCGGTTTTAATCGCTCCAATCCTTTAATACCCACTTGATTTCGAGCAATTTTAAAATCGTAATCCCCCGAGATAGATAATCGGCGGCTCGATGCAGTCGATATCTGGGGTAAGTCCGTGCTGCCCTGCCTTTGCCCGGAAGCTCGCCTATCTCCATCGATTATTCATTATTTATACAGACGTTCTTATTATTCCCCTGTTTGGCTTCACTTGCCAAATATGCTTCGGCTGTTCGATTCCTTATTTTAATTGTTCAAATACGTAAGGCGGCGCACGTGTTTGTTTCACACCCGTCAATCTCTTCGGATCAGCTCGCTGATGTTAATGCAATCATTATGAAGGATTCCGTAAGGGCATAGAAAAGCACCTTAACTCGTATTCTGAGTGGAGGGTTTAGACTGCTTCGTCAGCTGTTAAAAGGGGGGCTCTCAATCAAATACCCACTTACCCAGATTTTAATCAATGTATTTTGGATTATTTGCGGCTTCAAAAAATTATCACAATTTTCCAACTGCGGTTACCAAGAGATTATTTATATAATCAGTGCAATCAAAACTTCCTCTTTCCAGGAATTTAAGGCTTGGAGGCCACGATTTTATTCTCGAATTTGCTTCATTGTAGTCTCTGGATTAATATCGATTCGATTAGTGACTCTATTCCGGAATTCAACTCATCGTTGTTTTGTGATGAAAGTGATCTAAAACTTGAGGCGTTTTGAGCAGGGAGTTTTTTCGCCTCAGAAAGGTCTATTATTGACACCTTTGAATTTCTGTTTCCTTACAATGAAATATTTGGAATTAGAGGCATCATGAGTATTTTCAGATTCACAGAACAAGTTTTACATGTAGGCTATTTGAGCGCAATGAAGTGTTTTGGATCCACAAATTCCGTTAATAACAAAGAAGAAATCGTGACCGCTGAAAATAAAAAATCTGGATCAGAAGGGCTTAACGAGTATCTTCTTGGGCGAGTTTTTCTTTCGCTAGCAATGCCATAAAACTTGATGTTTTTAAGCGATTTTAGTTTTTTTCAACAAAGAGTCTTATTATTTTTCGTTTCACATGGGTGTTTTTTGACTTCAATGAATGACTCAATCCTCAATGTGTATACAGTTGTTGATTCTATCGTCGGTTAGCACATTTTTAATTTCAATTAAACAGAAAAAGTTGAAAAGCAAAAAAGAGTTGGCAGTAGTTGGGGCCTTCTTAATTAGCTAATTATATAAAAAAATACTGAACTTTTTTTTCGTAATAAAAACTGTTTTAGCATTTTTATCATAAACTGACAGCATTTGAGTCTTGACTTTTTTACGCAATTACGATTCAATTCCCAACCTGCTACAGCCGACGTTAAGCATTTTATAATCAAGATTAAGAACGCAGTCTTAAATTGGAAAGACCGAAAGGGCAATTTACTGTTGTTTAATACCCTGGCTGAAAGTTATTAAATATTGATGCTCTTGTAGCTTAATATTCCATAAAGACGGGTTTCAGGAAATTTGGTAAATTGCTTCAAGTGATTACGATTAGAACGGTAAAAGATTAATAGACTTTTCGGTGCGCGGATTAATTAAGAATTATATAGACACTACTCGATACGAGTGGCGTAGAGCAAAGTTTACGCCTTTCAAACAGGCGAATCCTCTGCATTAAGCAGCATGATGTGCGGCAACAATAAGGGCTCGTAAAACTTCATTGTGTTCGGAAAATAAGCATTAGTAATTCATGAATCCACATAGGGAACAAGATGATGCCGGAATAAACTGCCTTTAGTTCGCAGACTTTTCACAATATCGCTGATACAGAAGCTGCGCGCTTTCATTATCACTGAAGACGAAGCGAACGATAAATTACAAGCTTATATGACAAATACATTGCGTCTGCACTGAGAGCATATGGTTCTAAACATCATCCACATATAGCTGGTGCATAATTTATTCGCATACGACATACACACACATTTTTCTGAGAATTTAGAAAGTGCGATTGAAAGCTTTTAGTGGCGCCAGATGAGTCGTAAAACGTTTAACGGCCACTCAAACAGTGACAAAAACTTCCCATACATGAAACTAGAACTTGATAATGTTTGATTTAATTATTCACGGCCAGGAACGGATAAACTCAACTTGGGGGCATCAATTATTTGGAGGTTTTTCGTAAAGCGCGATTTCATAATTCAGGTACATTTTCACTGAACTTTCCTATTTGTGTTTATAATTTTCACCGAATAAAATAAGAATTATTTAAAATCCAAAAATAATTTAAAACCAATTGCGATATTAATAAAAATATAGAAATTATTTGGCAATTAGTGGAAGAGTGCCAAACACATTTTCCATGCCGAAAAAATAACTTGCTGGATAATTTTTCTTACTATATAGAAAACTTTCTACTTGATGATTTCATTATTTATTCTTATTCCTATTCTAGACTGTAGAGCTCGATTAAAGAATCGATCAAATGAAACTGTTCCAGGAAAATGAATTTCAAGTGATCAATCGATCAGGTTCGTTTCCGTATTCTATAGTCAGAATTTTAAAAGTTTCCGATAGTGGCAACAATGCTGTCTGAAGGCGCGTCCCGTCCTATTCCTATTAAAAAACTTTAGATATATGACTGTTTTGGTGGCCGAGGCTGTCGTAAAATGCAGCGATTTATGGCAAACTTTGTGGGTTATTGATTTCGAACTCTTGAAATAGTTCGGTCAATTCAAACGCTTTATCTTTGGAATATGTATCGTTTTCATGTGTGGGACTTCGCCGGAAGATTTACCTTTTGGGAACGATTTGAAGATCTGGAGTGCAAAAGTTTAGAAAAACTTATAGTTACAATTTTTTGTAAGTATCAATATTCTCTCTGTAATAGAAAATATGCAATTTTTAGCAAATTTTCAAATACTCTATCCAGTCGAAAATGGCAATTTCCTTGGATTTTTCACAGGATCTGAAAGTTATTGCTTGAGAATATTTTTGCCTATTCGCTCGGAATTGTTGATTCGGAATAGAATGGATTTCCTGTTGTGCATTCTCAAGTGCTCGAGATTGCAGTTTTGTGCAAGGTCTATAAATTTTATAGTCAAATTTAGCA